TATTAAAAGTTTATTATTCGACAAAGTCCTTGAAAGTGTCCCCATCTCCTCTCGCCTCTCCCCACCCCTCACCCTCACCCGCACCCAAACATAAAGGGCCTGCAACTTTAAAAGTCTGTACATGCCTGCTCAAAGACAGCGATCAATATAATCTCTCCAAGGAAAGAACGAACCAAGGATCTCACCCCTGCACGACCTCGCCCCCATCTGGTCAGGACACAGAGGTGGCAGCAAGGATCCGACACAAAGCAAGAAGCAGACTCCAAGGCTCCAGGTCACACGTGGGCCCTGGAAGTGTGGGCTGCGGCTTTATTATTGCTGCAAGTGGCCGTAAGGAAAGTACAGTCTCTTCTTTCAGGGACTCACAGGACTAAGGGCCATTTTAGAAATCATTTCCATAGGAAAACATTATCGACATTTTTTACATTTTTAACAAGCAGATCAGTAGTAGTAACAGTATGATCTCAGCAGAGTGGAACTTATCCACATGTAGAGAAAGACTGAAGGAGCCCACTGGTGGTCTCTGGTGGAGGAAGGTTACGGGGCCTTGGGCTCTGGGACAACAGGCAGCTCTGTGTAATCTCACTGAGGCTCAGTTTCCGCCTCTGGAGATAACAGTCCCTTCCTCGGAAGGCTGGTAACGTGAAGCCCAGAGGAAGCTCAAGTAAGGACACATCACAACAAAGTGTCTTCATGAACGTCTATGTTTTTCTAAAACATCTCTCTATTTCTTTTATTACCAAAAAATGTTACTTAGATAAAATGATTACTTAGGGCATTCCACTAACCAAGAACAGAAATACAGTCAAACTCTCCCAAAATGAGCCCCTTCTCTCAAAACTCTAAGAAGGGGAGGTTCTTCAGATTCACAAGGCAGAAAATTTAATGACTCAACCCAGATGGAAATTTATTCTAGTCCATTAACAGATATTTCACAAAGTCAGAAATATAACTAGTAAATAGAGGTATGGGAAAAAAACATTCAATTTCTTTAGATGATAAAAAATTAAAATTAAAATATATCACTGTTTTCAACTATTAAATGAACCATAAAAATATTCTTTAAGATATTACTGAATGCTGCCAAGACTAAAATAAAGCCAGAATCCTCACATGCTGCCAGTGGGAGAGCAGGCTGGTGCCAGCCTTTAGCAGAACAAGTTGGCAGTCTCAATCAAGAGCCAGAAAAAGCTTCTGTCCTCCAATCCAGTCATTTCATTTCTGAGAATGTAGATGAAGAAAATTTCTCAAAATAGGGGAAAGTCATGTTCACCCTCATGTTCAAACAGTGAGCACCATTTCTAACAGTGAAACACTGGAAACAACATAAATGCTAAGTAATGAATAAATAAACTATATTATACCAAGTGAATGGACTATTTACCTAAGCATTAAAAAAATGATAAAGAAAAAAAACATATAAAGATGTTAAAAATGTTGAAACATCACCTGGGAAAAATATATATACTAACACATACCCTTGGTGATTACAAGTGGGAAAAGTCTGAAGGAAAATTTCTAAGATGCTAATGGGGATTCACCTTCTGTATGATACTGTTGTTTCTATCTTCCCTGGTCCCCAAATTTTTACAATGTATGATTTTATTACCCTTATGATAAAAGTTTCTCCCTGTCTCGTGAAAATCTTTCCTCTGCCGTAGACACAGAAGAGCTGCCCACGGTCTCAGGTCCCTGACACCCAGCTCTGGACTCTTCTCTCACCCTCTGATAAGGGCAAGGATTCTCGTTTAAGTGTATTATCTTGTAAATGCCAAAGCTCTTTCACAGGGCACTGGAGGCGAATACCTCTCTGTGGGGAGACCAGCAGCCACCTTCACTTTCCTCCCAGTAGGTACCAAGTTGCTCCAAAGAATCAGAGGAAGGGCTTTGTAACTTCTGAGCAAGACATGGCAGGAAGTGGCACAAATTCTAAATCGGCCAGCTGGGACTCTGGAGACCCTGGCTCTGCCCACCCCGGGCTCTGTCCTCTGGGTATGTATAAATTCCTTCATGGACCCTAAACCTTTTGATCAGCAGAAGTAAAAAAGCAAAAGAGACTTAACCCCCCCCCCCCCCC